GGTTATATCTCTAGGTGTGTGGAGTTTAAGTCAAGGGAGGTGATGTTACATTTTTATAATTCCTTGGTAAGACCCCACCTAGAATATTGTGTGCAGGTTTGGTCACCATACCTTAAGTAGGACATTGCTGCCACGGAGGGCTACGAGAATGATTCCTGGTCTTAGAGGAATGTCTAATGAGGAGAGGTTAGCTGAGCTGAATCTGTTTAGCCTTGAGCAAAGGGGGGGACATGATCCAAGTCTATAAGATTCTAACAGGTCTGGATGCTGTTCAGCCAAATGGCTATTTCAATATTAGTTTAAATACTAGAACTCGTGGTCATAAGTGGAAATTAGCAGGAGAACATTTTAAAAGGATTAGAGGAAGCACTTCCTTACACAGCATGTAGTTAGAGTATGGAATAGTCTTCCTGCTAGTGTAGCGGAAGCTAAAACCCTGGGTTCCTTTAAAAATACTCAAATTTGCAAGCCCTGTTTAAGCTTCATTTAAGAACTGATTATTCTTGTTAACAAAATGAAAAATGAAATTTGATTCTTCAAAAATTAATTCTTATTCAAAAATCCCTATGGCAGACAGATAAATCTTGGTAAATTTAATTACCGAAAAAACGTCTGTGGAGATGCATGTAGACTCACACCCCTGGCATTTTTATTTCCATTTATTTATTTCCATGTGAAGTATACAGCCAAGACAAATTCCGAGAACATGCAGGTGTATTTTGCCAATAAGGTGAATTGTGATTCTAATTTTAAAGGTTTAAAAGTTCAAGTACAATAAAGGTTAACATTTACAGCTCCCAATGAAGTCCATTATTTCTATATATAGAGAGCAAAACTTCTTCGGAACACTTTTGGAATCCTGTAACAGAAAACTGATTTACTGTAGTGATTTAGGGGATTTTATTGAAGGTCACAGGAAATGCAATAAATAGAATATACTGTATGCATATGAGACATATACATGATGCACATGGAAAAAATGTACGGGAGATGGAAAATAATACGTAAATTACAACAACATATATGTTCTGGAACATCTGAAATCTGCTAAAGTTTTAATGTATTTTGTATTCATGTCTATACTTGTCCTCTTTTCTCCTTATTGAACTTAAAGCAAGTACTGTATATGAATTAATACATGTAGCAAAATTATTGAAATTGCTGAAAAAAGGTTTTATATTACTGTAATTATCAACAAAAATGTAAATAAAATAATGTAATAAAAATGAATTGTGCTTTTCTATGTGGATGATTAGTGTAATATAGTATATTCTCTAGATGAGTAAAAATAAACACTTATATACATATTTGAAACTCACAAGGCAGTGTACGAGTATCGGCTCACTAAGTTAATCCCAAAAAGTCCCTAATGTTGCCGTCTGGGGGCTTGTGCATCTCACGTTTGATGTTTCGTTTTAGACCTCTAGTTTTTTCTTCATGACCAGCTTGTAAAGGATCTGATAGCCATCATCCCAGGCATAGATCTGCTGTTCCAGCGGGTTATATTTCAGGCTGGAGTGCGAGCCGTAGCGCTTGGGGAAGTAGACTAGAGGGGCATTGTCGCTGGAGACCATGTCATTGACATCGTAGACACACTGCACCCGGGAGCGGCTGGGTAGCTTGGTGTTGTACACCACGTAGACGGTGCCGCAGATGACGAAGGCCGCCTCGGCGTTGTCACGGGGGCAGGGTGTGTCCCACATCTGCTCGATGTCCAGTGTGTTGGGGTCCATTTTGGCCAGGCAGATGTTGCGGTCATTCTCCTGTGTGGCATAGAGGGCCCAGAGACCCTCCTCATCGGCCGCCAGGTCGATATAGGTCTCGCTGGTCAGGCTGTAGACCGGCACAGGGTTCTCGGCGGGGAAAACCACGCTGTCGGCTATTGAGCCATTCCGCAGGTCATACTTGATCACCTGAAGTTCCTGACCTTCCTTCACATAGTAGATGAACCCATTGTAGACAGTGTGTCCCGTTCCACCCCAAGAAGAAGGCAGCTTGATCATCTTACCCCTGGACAACTTGGAGGAAGCTGTCAGGTCCCGAATTGAATCAAACTCATACAAGGTGTCCTCAGAAACTCCATTGAAGAGGTAGACCTTGCTAGATCTAGTTGAGGTGTCTTTGGTCCACATGCCCTTGGCATTGCCTGCTCTCTTCAAGATCTTCATGGCTTTGATACTAGAGATCATGTCACGGCAATCTGTGGAGCAAGCACAGGTGTCTTAGTGCGAGTTCAGTTGTTTTAACTTTATCGCATTTGAACTGTGGTATCCCTGTACAGTTACACTGAACTGCATCGCAAAAAAAATATTTTCCCCCTATTCTCATACAAGTATAAAAGAAAGATTAAGAAGATTTGCATCTAAATTTAATTTTCTTATGCCTGCTTCAGAACAGTCTTTTTCAACAGATATTTCTAGTCTTTTTTTAATTAGCATTCAGGAGTATTAAGTCGTGAACCTAAAACGTTGTTTCAGGTCCATCTTCAAAATTCAGGGTGTATAGCTTAGTCGTCGTTTTCAAAGCCCAAAAAATCGAAAAGAACGTAACAAATTCAAGGGAGAAAACCAGCAGCTGTCAGCACATGGAAAAGCTTGTAATGAGGATCGGGACAGCAAGACCGAGGCCAGAGATGGATCCAGATTAAACACAGTTTGACAGGAAAAACGTATAGATTTTGGACCTCATTATGATTCTGGATGAATTTTGAACTAGCTCTGCAGAACCCAAAAAATCATTGTTTTCTGCATTGCTTCTAAACAAATATATTTCAAATCAAACCAAACCAGCATAGTGTCCAGCATAAGGTATTTGGTCAGTTTTGTTTTGTTTTGTACCTCTTAAGTGTCTTTCTATGGAAAAAATATATGAAATTTAATGAGTAATAAAAAGCTGAAAACTGGCGTCACATTCACATCTCTAGCAGTAGGTTCTAAAACTAAAAATCCATAAAATATACGGTATATCTACGACAGGTGATTTAATACAAACTGGTGAACAAGTTAAATTGTATCCTTTTGAAGTTGCCCCAGTTTTTACCAGGAAAAAAAATATCTAGAAAAAATGAAGTACAATAAAAAAAGAGCACATATATCATAGCAGAAAAGGAAAGACCCCACAGAGCAGGTTATGTTCTTTAAAGGTACATGGGATAATTGGCAGCAGCTGGGCCCTCCGGGCATCGGAAGCCTTCAAAGAAGGTGTAAAACATTGTTATAGTGCTATGAGCGGAACTGCCGTTGCAGTAAAGAATCAGGTAGTAAACGAAACACCACAGTCATCATGAGCATTTTATTCTACACTTGATGAGAAGTAAGAAAACGTACAGCATCTATAAAATCTGTCAAGGAAATATCTAACTAGCTATGGGCCTCTAATCAAGAGAACTATGCTTGGCAAAAGAGGGCTAAATACGAGAGCATTTGTGGGATTGTACTATCATTCTGTTTTTGTGGGGGGGGGGCACCCTGGGGGCACCCTGGGCTACCCTTAAAGCATCATTGAGAATGCAGTGGCGAACAATCATGAAGATATTACCTACAAATAATTTAATGCAAACTGATAAAACTCCATTCATAAGGGTATGAATTTGATTATATCTGTGTTTTCAAAACAAAAGGTTATATCTGAATTTTTCAGTGGCTGACTTTATGTCCACCTGCCCCACTCCTTCGGTACTGTGTCTCTTTGGAGAATCCTTGGGTACCGCTGGTTTGACTTTGTGTCGAATGAGTGGTTGCTCAAGGAGTCCCGGATGAGGCGCATTACCTGCATTGTCAGGGAGCGTCAGTTACGGCACTACGGCCATGTGGCGCGTTTCCCTGAGGGTGATACAACTCGAAGGATCCTCACTGCTGAGGACCCGAACAGCTGGACCCGGCCAAGGCTACACCCACGTAACACCTGGCTGTGGCAGCTCGACTGTCATTGCCGGAGGGTGGGATTGGACCACATGTTGGCTGAGATGTTTTGTCATGTGGGGGGTGTGGCAACACACTGTACCAGTGCATATGCTCCCCAACCTGACCTGTCCCTCCCATTGTTCAGATGCATTCCCCAGTCCAGGGTGGGGGGGTCATTTGCCTTCGCACAGGTTCATGTGGATCCCTCAACTCACCTGAGAGCTTGGTGTACTTCACTTTGTTCTTCTCCTTCACAGTGGCCACCTCTTGCTCCACCAGATGCTCGTCCACATCCACGCAGGGAGGTTGGGGGTTCTGGGTCTCCTGATAGTCCATCTCGCGCTCTACGCGATCCACGCGGGACACCACACTGGTCAGGTCAGAGCGGAGATCTTCCCTCTGCTTCTCGATGCTCTCCAGGAGCGCCGACACCTGCTGTTTGAATTCTCGAAGCTCAGAGGCTTGCCGGTTGGTCTGATCCTGCCAGAGAGAGATACGTTCCTAGAAGGCAAGAAGCCTCTTCTGGTTATTCAGTGATAGCCCAGAAACTAAACAAAATGCAGTAAATGCCATTGTGTTGCATGTACATTCATGCTTTTTCAATGAGTAGATAAAATGTGCTTCCCTGGACTTTCCCTGATCTCTATGCTTAATAATAACTGCATCTTTGCTCACTTTTAAAGGACTATAACGTTTTCCACTCAGTAGGGGAGAGTGGGTTAAGAAGGGAACTTTTTTTTGTCAAGAAACAAAAGAAACTGATTATGGTTTTGTTCCTTTTCTACATACTTTTCCAAATATGAAGAAGTCCCTGTGCTCAATAAGTCTTACATTTTTCAAGCAGTCATGTTGGGCATGTTGGGGAAAACCGTTGCGTTACATAAAAAGCTGTCTGCTGGGAAGCAGAAATGGAGGTGAGTAGGACTTTACTGGGCTGTGTGGGAAGAAAGCAGATCGCAAGAGAGTCTCCATCCTTTCATAAAGAGTTTAGTTGAATGAATTCCAGAATTTCTCTCACAACTTTCCCACCTGCTCCAGTCCATTAACTGCTGTGTTGCCTGCTGAATTCATTATTTAGGCAACACTAATGAAAATAACACATGAAAGACTTTTCTTATTCACTTAGATCCATGATTCCTAGATATAGTTACTAGTAAGTTTTCTATTGGTTAGAATCAGGCTTTTAGCTGAGATGGAGTATACAACATATGCTCATTTCCAAAAACCACATTAACATAAAAGAATACATCCATTTTCTCCCAGAAGCCTTAGTGGCATGTGGCCTGACTGATTGCCATGCTGGTAAAATGGTCAATTTGTAGCTATGAGAGCAATTTAAAAGACTTACTACTGCTAATGACTCCAGATGTATAAGTGCAAGTATTTGAAAAATTAAATTTTGTGTTGCCTGGGACATTATAAATTGTCCCTGGATGCTGCAAAATATCATATAATTTGGTATAAGAAAAAATATCTATCAATGCGGTGTGATATATGAGGATAATACAATATTCTCTGAATAGGCTTTCTTTCTAGTCTTCCTGTTGTAAATTATTTTTCCATTCTGATTCCTAGAATGATATGTATCGATTCTAGTTAACATGATATAAGTTCTTACTGTGAAAAAACTAAGACACAATCTCGAGCTGTAGCATTATAATTGCTGTATTGAATTCAACAAATATTTTCAGACATGTTTAATCATTTTACACTCAGAATAAGAATGAAACCCATATTCATGCCCAACACTTCTAAACCATTTTTCATACTCTTAATTAAACCAGTGTTACAATGTACATTTATCAACATAACTTTGATTTATTGTACTTCATAGTAGACTTTGAGTGTTGTACCTACAGTATTACCGAATACTTTTTACTGCACAAGAAAGCTTGAAACTTATAATAGTTTTTAGATATATTTTCTAGTCATTTTCTCATTGCTCTTAGCAGAAATTATATTCCATGAAATACTATACTGTACTTTAATATGCATACTTTTCAGTGAAAGCAACTGAAGTGCTGATTCAAAAGTGAAGTTCGTTAAGCTACACGTTTGAGCAGAGGACTGCTTGGTAAAATCCATTTGTCACTCTTAATCTATCTTACTAAACACTCGCCAAATTGCTGTTCAGTTGCGATCCGTGACCATTACGTGCGATAAATGTGACAACTGAATGGCCAGACCATTTGGGCACATTCATTCACCACCCAAATGGATGCATTTTAATAACACCGGCAAACGTTAATGTCCGACTGACATATAACATGATACATATGATCCAGCTAAGAACTGTAACACACTGTAAAAGGCACAAAAGTGTTTGGTGCCATAAAATTCATGCCGATATTTAGAAATTGAAATAGGTGGGTAATACTTCTAAATTAAGCAACAACCTCTTCAAAATATATTTGCCATGTTCTTGCATTACTACCAGTTAATGTGCAGCAGAGATTATGCATTGTGGTGATGTAAGACATCATGTGACTCATTTCTGGGTTGAGGAAGGAAGGTTTTTTTTTTCCTCTTTTTTTAATCATGTTGAGTAAGCCAAGTGTTGGAATGGAAATAGCAGGCTGTGGAGCGCCGTCTCAGAAGCGGCCCTGTTTGTGGTGGTTTTAGTGTGGAGTCAGCAAATCTGAAGACAGGTTACGGGAGAGAGCATGGGTGGGGGGAGGAGAATGCAGGGGAGATTAGAGACATAACAGCCCTTCCAGTGAGACTACACTGACTGACAGAGACAATCAGTGAGAAGTATCATTAATGTGCAGTGCAATGAAAACCTCTTAAACACTGGGATTCTGAAGGCTGTACAGCAGTCTTTTAACTATGTTTGCCTCACTGCCACCTTTCCAATTTGCCTTTTGTCATCTCTGCCAGTACGAAACGGTTCCCCGGTCAGTTGCTGCGGCAGTTAGCTTAGGAATAGCCAGGGCATGATATTACATTTCTACTCCCATTGAAAAATGAAAGCATTTCCTTGTCTCTAGTCCTCTTAAAACAGTGCATCAGTGATGATTACGTAGAATTTGCTTCCACGGGGGAAGGAAATGAACCTCCCACCAAACAAAAGCTGAAAGCAGAGCGATTAGAGAAAGTAATGTTTGACCAGGGGAGTAAAGCACCACTTACCTCGATGGACAGCATCCTGCGCTCCAGGTAATCCATCAGGGCCTGGTTCTGGCCACTGGCAAGACTGATTAAGGCAGCAGTGATAAGGATTAGGGCTCTCATGGCGAGGCTGAATAGCGGACACTGAGGTCTGGTCGATTCAGATGGCCAACAGCTGCAGCCTGGCCTCCTGTCCCTGCTGCTATGTGGCCCCCGTATGCCTGTGAGTGAGGGAGAAGCTGAGGGAGGGGTGAAGAAACTTCTTCTGGAGTTTCTCCTTGGCCCAGTCACTTGGCAGGAATGTTTTTACAGGAGCAGTAGGGGCCTCTTTGTCTGCCGCCCGGTTCGCTTTGTGCCACACGTCCAGCAGATGGCTCTGTGCGTGGAGGTTTCTGTCTTCTCTCACGGGAGCGTGTTCCATCGGGATTTTCCAGCCAGCAGGCCTATGTGTTGAATGACAAGACTTTCATATGAAATAAGTTAAAACAATGTTCATGTTTATCCAAATTTACAAGCGTCAACCAAGACTTTTCCTTTTGAAAACCTCCGTTTGGTCTTTTTTTTTTGTCTAGATCCTGGCGGTTTTACTTTTCAGTTTCCATATGGTTTAGATGAATGTGCAGTTTTGTAGCTGAAAATGTATCTTGGCAAAACCAAAGCCCCCCTTTCCAAAGTCCCTGGCTTAAGAAATTGGTGGCAAGAGAAATATTCCACAAAGGCATCCTTGTTTTTATTGAATGGATGCATGTTTTGCTTTAAAGCAGCCAAGCCAGCCACAGCTCTCAAATTGTTGGATCGCAGTTGGCGGAAAAAAAAAAAAAAAAAGCCCGATTTGCATAATCATATTCTTGCAGATGGTGAAATCAAAAAAAGCAGCTAAAATCCCTTCGTGTTGTCATCCCAGCTGCATATATCACAGCTGATTGGAGATAATTTTATAACTAAACAAACAAAAAAGTAGGGAAGAGTAGCTTAATGATAAGCTGATGCTGATTGCCAACTTATCAGTGTCACCAATCAGAAGAACAATCTGCTGGCTATGGAGTCTGAGAACAGAAATAATCCAACTAATGCAACATGACCAATAGCGTCATCGGGTGATAAACAGATTGCACTATGTATTGAATCCATGTACTTTTCCATCCATTTGTCTTCCAACTGCTTATTCAGTGCAGAGTCCTGTGAGCCTGGAGTCAGGAGATGCAGTGTGGAAAACACACCGCGTCCGTGACAGAGAACATATGTGCACAACTGAAATTTAGACACCATGTTGCCTAACTTCATGTTATTGAACTGCTGCAGGTAACCAGAGTACCAGGAAACCAGTGTAGACACTGCCCCCACGCCCCCCCCCCCCCCATACACAGATCTGGGTGGGAGTTATTTTCTAATTCCACTCCTCTTCCAACAACCACCACGATTATAAAAAATGAGACATTAGTTACCATTCACTGATTCTGCAAAGTTTTTAAATTAATATCATTTGTAAAAGTGTCCAATATATCCATAATTTGTTTTTACCCATATGTCTCGCTATCAGTATCACACCTGTTTCCTGTTTTCACTTTGAACAATGGAGTAGCAAACTACAATAACGTTATAAATATTGCACGCAGCGATGTTTGAGATCCGGGAATGAAAACTTTGACAGGCTGTGAAAATTGATGGAACCGTATTTCCTGATAAAGCCGCATTTGTATTGGGTGCCATCTATCTTTCATAAGTGCTAATCCATTACGGGGCTACGGGCCTGCTGAGAGAGTGGGGCCCAGGAAGCACAAGGCAGGGGATAGGGGGAGCAAAAACATGGACTGTCTGGGGATCCCGAGGACTGGGTTGGGAGCTGGGAGGGAGCAAAATCACACGGCAGGGGATAGGGGGAGCCCCTGCTGCAATGCCAGTCCATCAGAGAGCACACACTCACACACTCACATACTCACCGAGGGACATCAGTTCTTCAGGATACATACAGTGGGGTGCAAGACTCTTTTCTACAAAGAAAAGGCAAAGAAAATTTGCAGTAGATAGTAAATGTATATATGTATACTTTCTCAGGAAAAACAAACAGAATTTAACATTACAATCGGGGGTCCAGTAAAATGTCTGTGTGTGTGTGTGGTGGGGGGGCTGATAAATTTGAAATGTGATTGGATTGATCTTGGTTGTGGGCCCAATATGATATGCTTTCTTCGGGCCCAATATTGTTAGCGGCATCGTGGATTAGAACATATACAAATTAACGGTAACACAATAAAAACTAACAAGAATTTCTTCTGTTTATTAATTATTAATTAAATTAATTGATTTAATTATTGATAAGGCTACATGAACACCGCTTCAGTTCCCGAACTTCTCCTCAGGGCCAAAACATCCATTACATGTATTTATTAAATTTCACACCAGCTCAATTAATTTATTTATTTATTTTAAATAATTCTACGAGGTACCCTTTAGCTAAGTGGGTCAAGGTTTTGAAATAGCCAAGTTAACAAACTTGACAGACATATTATAATAGTTTTATACCAACGTGAAGCCCTAAGACTTTTGCACAGTGCTGTGTTTAGTACCAGCAGGTGGAATCCCACACAATCGTGGGAAGAACATGAAAACTACAAACTTATGGATAGAATTAAACCCACAACAACGGAAGACTGGAGCCACAGTTCCGCCTCTTTTGGATTCCCCTGCCGAAAATTACATTTCAATGCCCAGACTGCTCTGTGAGACCTGGTGAAGGGTATGTTTAATCTGTGATGCTACATTTCCTCTTTGTAAACTGTTTATACATTACTGATCTTGCGGTGCTGTTATGCTACCATGACATTGTTTGTCTTTATGAAGCATAGCAACCATGTGCTACAAATCCTGCACTCTGTGTGGCTTACTCTGTTCCAGTGGTTGCACATGTCTTTATACCATGTTAGAGATTTTGTTTCTTAATAGAACCAACACAATAAATGGTGTATCACTCCATGTGCAGTCAGCTGTGCATAATGCCGATGATTAGATCACACAGATGAGTGCTTTTGTTTGAATTATTGAGGAGACGCTAGATATCCATTTTCAACATAAATCCTCGGAGACTGTGCTCAGTGCAGCTGAAAACTGTAAAACACCAAAGTTACAAAACAAATTACATAAAAAAATGACAGCTTAAGGCGCAAGCATCTGAGGTACTGGGTAGGTTGCTGTACCAAACAAGAATCAAACCATGAAGAGCAGCAAATACCTGAACCAAGCAATCACAGACACAAAATATTCCTGTACATGTGTGTTGGGAGCTGGGAGGGAGCAAAAACAAGCACTGTCTGGGAGGGAGCAAAAACATGCACTGTCTGGGAGGGAGCAAAAACATGCACTGTCTGGGAGGGAGCAAAAACATGCACTGTCTGGGAGGGAGCGAAAACATGCACTGTCTGGGAGGGAGCAAAAACATGCACTGTCTGGGAGGGAGCAAAAACATGCACTGTCTGGGGGTCCCGAGGACTGGGTTGGGAGCTGGGAGGGAGCAAAAAAGGTACATGGACTGGCCATAATAATCCGCGTTGTGAGGATTGTGAATTTATGGGGTCTATTTAGTCAGTCCTATCATATCAACTATACATCAACAATATTTAGTATTTTCACTTTGGCTTGTTTAAATCCCTATAATTTTCCCACAAGATGCAATTTTTGCACTGGGGCTTAAATTGCAATGTTTGCAGACAGGTAGCAATTTTATTTTTCATCTAGCTGTTGGTATTAATTATGGGCGCATATTATTTTACTTCATTGTGGTTTTTATCAAAGTAGACAGGCCTACAGTTAGGTTGATACTATGAGGACATTGCATTGTGTGCAAAATTATTTTGTGGGGCAAGACGTAGCGTAGCTTTCGTGGATGCTGTGTCTGTTATTGCAAAAGCTGCTCTTTCAAAGTCCGCAGTGGGCAGAGTGATTTTACTGTAGGGTCCATAACCACGGTCCTTAACCCCAGGGGCTGCTTTACAGAGTTTGTAAAACCTTGTATAGTTTTTGTCATGTTTCCCCCCATTATTGCATAAGAAATGTAAGACTTGTTTCAGCTGAGATGACAAACTGATCCATCGTCGCAGTGGGATCAGAGGAAGGATCTGGCTTTATAAGACTGAGGGGTGAAACACAAGCAAAGGGGAACAGGCTGGGGAAACCAGACAGATGTTGAATTCTGGGAAGTGTAGTTTCACCATGCCCTGACAGGACAGAAGGCCTGGCCAGAGAGGATGATGGGCATTGTAGTTGAAAGGGTCTTGTCACCTGATTTCCCTTTATCTTACAACATGTTACACAATTACATAAATTAGAGTTCATATCATTTTACCGTTACGCCTTGAGATCTGTTACTAAAAAGCTACAGTTCAAATTATTCACAAGTAACAGTCTCCTGTCTCTTTAGCCAAACGTTCACATTTAATCAATCTATCCATCCATTTCCCTTAATTGCTTATCCAATGCATGATCGTGGAGAGTATGGATTCAATGCCAGGAAACACAGGACAGAGGGCACCCAGAGCAGGCTGTATGCAAATATACAAACTGTTCTTACTGAAATTTCACAGAACATTTTCCCATATATTACATTTAAACTAAACCATGATGGTCCATCATCGATCATCATCGCACAGCTCTTTGACAACCCATTACCATGACCAAACTGAAGACTACAGCACTGAGGTGCATATAAACACAATTATTGGAAATTTTACATAATATGTACTTGAGATTTAATAGAATTTAGATATTTGCATTCTTATTTAATTACTCTAACCTTTCAGTTCAATAGGCACAATACAACTTCTTTTTTTAAATGTCAGCATTTGTTTTTTATGTACAGTGAGGGTCACTATGGTGTGTTGCATTGTTCTATACCCACGCACTTCAAAGACATCATTTTCATTAGTGGTCACTCAGATGAATGGCACCGTTCACCACTGAAGTGTTTATTTCATTGTCCATTTTCTCCTGTGTCGAAATCTGCAAGCAGCAGTTGGACGAAGGCATCCTTCTAACACTGAAGAACTGCATGGATTTTCAGAGAGAGTTGGGCAAATTTTAGGTAGAAAAGTACAGCAAACTAACAGGTTTTCTATAAGGCATTTAGAGGTAATACATTTTTTAAAAGACCATGATTCCAAATTTTAGGTATGAAGTCCCAATAATTTTGTCCAAGCTTTTTTTTTTTTGTTTGGCATCTAAGCAAAAACGACAGCTCTCTAATTCCATAGGTACACTGTAATATATTGATATGATTTGCTGTTTAATAAATGAAAATAATGAAAAAAGGCCACTTATTCTGTTTTTTGTAAAGCATTTTTTAAATTGTTAGGATACCAATAAATTTAGGCTTGGATACTTTATTGGTCATGAGCATTTTT